AAATGTGCAACATCAGCAAAATGAAGATGGAACTGTATTGGTGAATGCGCTGAACGATTCTGGTGATGGCGTGGAACTGAATTTGGATGGTAAGCATAAAAAATGCTGTGAAAGCAATTAAATATGTTCTAAATTAATAAATACATTTATGCACATCCATACATATATCGCAAATGGCACATTTTCTACCCTTATTTAGATTACTCTATTGAACCTACCTCAAATTCTGAAGATGTGGAAGAGGAAGAAGATGAAGCTAACTCTTGCTCTTCCTTCAGCCTACAGGAGTGCATTAATGAGTTTCGTGCACGCCGTATTCGCCGCTTATCCACCCAAAGCCGCGAAGTAGCTCAAACAGAAGAACTGGCTAGTGGCTTTGCGACCGAAAGATGTGAAAAGAAAGCGTTACCTGATCCAGCTGACGCAGATTTAATCAGTCAAAATCGTTCCAATAAGGAGCAAGAACGCAAGTGCAAGCCATGTCGCAATGGTTTTTGTTATTGTTTCACCAGCGACAGTGGGGAGGGTGGCGGTGTGTGCGCAGCAGCGGGTACACGTGCCGAACACGTGCGTCAGCTCAGGCGTCACAGGCGCTCTGAGTGCAATGAAGTAAGTGATAATAATTTGTTAATTACTACTTCAAGTCTCAATGTCTTTGCTGGTATTATTCATTTATAGCTTAGTACAGTTCTCCCGAAGACTTACGTTAATCCAGCTGACCACAGAGATGTTCGACGCGAGAACTTGTCTGGTAACTTCAAAATACCAGCTGAACCAATGACACAAGCCTCACCACAAAAGAATAAACAAGATAAAATAAAACGCAAAACAACCACAGAGGCTACTACTAACGCAAACGAGCTAACGGCGATAAGTCGTTTAGAGACTAGTACAGCCGATGCACCTTTGATACATATTATCCAAGAGTTGCACAATAACTGTGTAATTTCTGAAGTGCGTGTAAACAAGCACAAATTGCAAACTAATAGCCAAACGGTTGAAAACTCGAATGTTGGACAAGCGTTCAAATTATCACCACAAAAACAAACAAAACCACATTCCACACGCCTCGTACATGAGCCCACTGCACCACCCTTAGAAAGTTTTACTTTAGCTAAAAAGCAAGCACAAAGTAAGCGAGACACATTTCATGGGCCAGTACTAGATAAAATCAGTGAATTGGATTCACTTTCCGATGCTTTCACATTCTCCACACCACTTACTAGCAGTTCAAAGCACACTGATAGTGGGCGTCGTAGACATAAAGCAGGCGGACGTTTACTACAAAAGCGTTTAAGTTTATCGTCGGTGCACTCTAAGCCCAGACGGTCACTGCAAGCACCACCCAAACCACCACGGAGCTATATGTGCGTTGAAGAAACATCTACAGTATCTTCCTTGAGCTCGACGTCGCCGTCATTGCGTGAAGCAGAGCGTATACTTGACGAATTCTTGATCAGAAAAGGTGCGATGGTGAGAGAAGCTGAGAAAAAGGCAGCAAAGGGCGCGGAAAAGGTGAATAAAGCGGCTCAGGTTGATATGAAGAAAATGGTGTATGCCACAGAGAGAAGGCGCGAACAGCGCAAATCTTGCCCGTCGAGTAAGTTTTATTGAAATTGTTTTTATAAAAAAAAGTAGTGCAATAGATATGTAGATCATGGTTGTTGGTGTTAGCATTTCCAACTTTTTTTTTACATTATGGGGACTTTGAAATATATTGGCGGCTAAATAGAATAAAGCTCTTTGTTTTATTAAATGCTTTTTTGCAGTTTTATTTCTTATAATCCTTGTATTGTTTGCAAAACTTCGCTTACAACGCTTGTTTACGTAGTACTTGGCCTATCAGTGTTGCACTAACTTTGTATCAGCTTCTAATTTTTCTGAACACTAAAAATAAAAAAGTAAAATTTTCAAAAAACTATTTGGTCAATTGGTCCATTTTGTAGTACTTATGAATGAAGTTCTCTGTTTCGATTTCGGCTAATGTGTAAAATTTCCGTTGTTCTCCTTTAGGCTTAACCGCAGAAAAGTCGCGGCGGCAGCATATACTGCCATCTTGTCCCTCACTTAGCGACCTCGAACGCTCCGCCGTTGTTTCGAACAAAAAGTATAGCAATTATGAGAAAAACATACGTCAGATAGCTGAAAAGCCAGTAAAAGAACTCAGTTTCGGTTGGAAAGAGCCAAAAATCACAGATATGCTTAATTGTAACACAACCACTAAGGAACGCCAATTCAGATCTCAAGCTGTACAGGCTGAGCCACAACAAGCTGTTGGCTGGCAAATACCACCGAAAGTTAATCTGGACACAGTCGATGGTGTATGTTCCAATTTGGCTGCTAATATCTCAACTAAAAACACACCTGTCAAGTCAACGCCCATGTCAACGCCAAAGAATACGCGTGAATCTCAAAAGTTCATTTGGAGTGAGCAATGGCGTAACATCTCACCATGGTGCAATAAACAAACGAAAAGTGGAGATCGAGCTTTGAAAAGTAATTTAAAATCTTCATCGCGTACGCTTCTAAGTAGTTCGAAGAAAAAAATTCTTCGTTTAGTCACTCCCAAGCGGGATAACATACAGCGCCGAAGAAACTATTCATCCCACAGCATTGGTGTTCAAACGTCTCAGGACGAATTGCAGCCATACGAGCCAAGCATGACGCCCCAATCACCACCGGGAAGCTATCATTCCGCTGTACAAACTTCAACGCAGACTACTACACCGAGTTGCTCGCAAAATACAAATGAAACTGAGCCACGAAACTTTGATTTTTCGCGCACAGTTCATCCCCCGCCCAAGAAGGCTCCACGCGCTGCCTCACAGCGAAAGCTAAATTTTCCTCTCCGCGGTTGTGCGGAAAGTAGCTGCCTTTCGTGTGAACAAGGCACGCTTAGTACATCCATGAAGACGAAAACATATCGCTCATACCATGGCGATTTGGATCAAGATGTAACAATGTCGAAGCTTGGCTACATACTCGGGAATATACGCGCGAAGTTGGAGGCTAGTGATGATCATGCGGTCAGAACATTTCAGGTAAGTTTGCACGAGTTGGAAATTTATTCAGAATATCCTTCTGCCTACCCAATTAAAAGGAAAAGTCACAAGCTATGAGTTCAAATTTTTGTATCTTAAAGATCCAAACTCGATATAGTTTATTCAATTCTTCACAAAGCAAAGTCCAATATTATGCCACTGAAAATTTGATGCCCAGTGAATAGTGATCCGAACCCAAGTACTTATTAGGAATTTTGCCAGTGCGCATACAGTCCGTAATTTTCGGTAGCGCGTATACCGATTGTATTTGAAACTTTTTGCGATTTTCATCAATTGAATGCAGAATGTAATCCACAGTTATCCAATTCTGTTGAAACGTTGACGCAGCATTCTTACCGAAATCTATTTGTGCTAATTGCAAATTATTACTTTCTTTTCCTCCAGAAATTCTCCAATTTGGTGCAGGTTGGAAGGGCTCGGACAACAATCGATATGGTCTTGTTTCGGGTTCAAAATTAAAATCTCCCGTTAATATAACCGGTAATAGCGTGCTTTTACCGTTTTCATTTTCCACGGAGAATTTCTGAATGGCCGCCAGCAGCACTTCCACTTGTGCTATGCGCACGTCTTGTCTCTTTGGGTTGTAAAGTAAATGTGTTGTGGCTATCACAAATTTCTTTTCTGGCAGTTTTTTATCTGCGAATTTGGCGAGTATAGCAACATTGTCGCGATTCAATACTGTATGACCATGAATATAATATTCTACAGATTGTTGTGCCAGAAACCGAAATTTACTTTTATCATAAATAATGGCACAGCCATCTGTTCTATGGCCAGTTTTCTTTTTGAACACATATTCCAACTCCCTTTTGAAGCTTATACGCTTAACAAACAATTGCAAATGGTTGAATTGCATCTCTTGCAAACAGAGAATATCAGGTTTGATGTGTTGAATTTCATCCGATAATCGTGACAATCTATGGTCCCAACGTAACTTTGATGGCTCAATGTCGATGTAGAGGTGCAGGTGTTCCACTAACAAGTCTTGGGCAAGAATATTGTACGACAACAAAGTAAAGATTTTGCTGTTTTCAGTGGGCTGTGCCACTTCAGTCCCCGTAACCTGCTCCCATGTGCGTACCATCTTTGCGTGCTGCCACTTACTTTTCGAGAATTGGCTTAAATGCAGCACCTGCTCACTGTTGATTTTTAAGGTTTTTACCGCATTCAGCAAACTATTTGTGTGGAAACCGCTAATGAGAGTTTTAAACATTTCACGATTCGCATCCGACTGTAATCGCATGGATTTTTGCGTGGTTGAATTAGCTGATTGAAGACCTGGAATTTATTTTGGTTAAAATATTTCTTTGTCCTTTTATGCATCTTTTATGGGCCTTCTAATGTCAAAATCAGCTGTTATCAGCATTTCTCGTGTTTTATTTCCCACGCATTTTCTTAAATTTTTAAACAGATATGTTATTTTTTGATATGGGCCTGGAGTTAAAAAGTTTAATTCCTTACATTGAACATTTTTTTGTTAATTTTTTATATACACAGATCAATTCTATCTATTTGTCCTTGATAAATATCTTACAAAAATTTATATATCTGTGTTCGTATAGAATAGTAGCTTATGTCGGGAATCTGGCTTTAGTATAATGCGGCATTCACTTTATTCTTTAAACGACAGCGAATTTTTTGATGAGACCTAATAAGAATATTGACTATTCTTGCACGTTTATTTACCAAAACACGGCTCGACGCCAGTGAGTCATTCGCAATCGTATGCCGCGAATGCTGCATTATACTAGAGCCAGCCTTTCGGCATAAGCTACTATTCCATACGAACACAGATATGTATGTAGCATGTCGTTGGCTTAGTTCGCAAACGTGCTAAGTCCATTTTTTTTATTTTTCAGGAGGGACAAAAAACCGTCTAACTTTTTTTGTTGTCAATATTTTTCTAATCTGTAAATGCAGTTTTATTC